AACTGGGGAGTTCAGTGAAGTGAAGTTGGGTCCTTTCAAAAAAAACTGGGGAGTTGAGTGAATTTGGGTCCTTCCAACACAGAAATTTGAACTGGAGAGTTCAGTGAAGGTAGGCCCTTTCAAAAAAAAAAACTTCAACTGTGGAGTTCAATTTTTTTTATTGAAAGATAGTTTTTTTAAACAAATATAGATATATACATGTATGTTTACTTTAAAAGGTATTCTTATCCCTGAACCCTAAAACCCTAAACCCTTATTATAGTTCTTAATTATTAAATAATTTTCTTTATATATTTGTTCTTTAATATATTCAAAAAATATAACTAAATACTTTAAGAAAAATATTTGAAACTATATATAATTATATAGTTTTTTAAAAATATATATTCAAAAAATATAAATAAATATAGTTTCAAAAATCTAAATAAATAAATTTAAATACTTACATTATATTTACTGTATTAATTAAATATATATATATATATAATCATATTTATTTAACTGTTTATTTTTTCACCATATATTTGCCTGGCCATGTTGGCCAGGCAGGTCTCTGCTGTGCAAAAATTGGCCACCCCCCCATGTCAACAGAAACAACAATGAACCATTTAAACAATTTAGAACACTTTGGTTAGTTGATTTATACTACTTTGTTTTTTCATTGGGGGGGTGGCCAACACACTAGGTGAAACATGCATGCAAATTAATTAACCCTTTTTCAAGGGTTTTGAACCTTTTTCAAGGCTTTTGTGCATCATGTTTGCTTGGCCCCTTTTTCAAGGGGGGGGGGGGGGGATGCCTTTTTCAAGGCTCTTCCTCCTCAGTCCATGGCTTCAGACCAGGCAGGTCCACCATGAACTGAGCTACTGCATCTGCAAGCTGCCAGTAGCCCCCCCTACCAATTTGGTAGGCCTTGAGGCCCCAGGAGTTGGCCTCATTGATGACCTCTGAGTTGTCATCCATGATGCACAGGGCTCCAAAGTGGCATGCCCAGTCCACTTTGGAGTCATGCCCAGTGAAGGCATAGGTGCACCTGTAGGACTTCACCTTTTTCAAGGTGGAGCCCAGCAGCTTTGGGATTTGGTCCATGGTTTTTTCAAACCTGTCCTCAGATCCCACCCAGCTGATGATGTGGACATCCACAACAGTCAGCAGCTGCTCCAGAGCCTGCAGGCTGGCTTCTGGCATCTTGTTCCCTTTTTCAAGGGTATTGTGCCAGTCCAGCACCACACATGGCTTCTCTGCCTCCTTTTTCAAGGAGCTGGATGCCTGGCTCTGGTTCTTTCCCTTTTTCAAGGGACCTCTGGAGGCTGCCCTTTTGCTGGGGTCACTGGCCTCCTTCAGCCTCTCCAGGTGGACATTCAGTCTCTCCCTGAGGGCTTCCTTCTTTGCCACCTCCTCCCTGGGAGTGAGGCGGGCCCTGCTCAGAGACCTGCTCCTGGGCCCATTCTTCCCTCTGCAGAATGGGTCTCCAGGGCATGCTCAACCTTTTTCAAGGCTTCCTCCTCCTCATGCTCTTTTTCAAGAGCTTCAGCTTTCTGCTTCTCCACAGAAGCCAATGCCTTTTTCAAGGCTTCTTCCTTCTCCTGCAGAGAAGCTGAGGAGGTAGCAGGGGGGTCTGCCATGGCCAGGGAAGTCCATTGCAGAACCTCCCTGGCCTGCCTCCTGGCTTGGGAAGTAGTGCCACTCATGGCCTGCCTTCCCTTGTTGTCAAGTGGACCACCCCAGGTGGGTTGGTTTTTTCAAACCTGAAGTTTTTCCAAACTCTGTGTGGTTTGGTTTTTTCAAACCTGAAAAGAGTTTTTTCAAACTCTGTGTGGGCACAGCTACAACTACAAAAGGCTAAGCTGTGGGTTGTAGTGCTGTGACTATGTAGTGCTGTGACTATGCTGTGACTATGTTGTGGCTATATGTCCTACCATACATGCATGTGCTGTGCAGTTGTGTCTGTGCAGTTGTGTGTGTGCATCTATTGTCCTACCATACATGTGCTGTGCTGTTGAACTGTGTAAGTGTGCATGTGTGTGTGTGCAGTGACATGGTCATGCATGAGCCAAGTTAGCTGCAGGGCACATACAGGTTACTAACCAACAGAAACAAAGACAAAACTTCCAACTTTCAGGGGTAACCCATTTAGGTGTTAAACCACATTCCCCTTTGGTGGGACCATTTTTTCAACAAACACACCTCATATATCCAAAACTATGTACATACCTAGGGAGCTATGTACATGCAGAGGTACCCTTTTTCAAGGGAGCTATGTGCATGCAGAGGTACCCTTTTTCAAGGGTGCTGCCAGGATCCATACCTTTTTCAAGGTTTTTGTGTTTGTGGCTGCCTTTTTCAAGGGTGCTGAAAACACAAACTTTCTCTCATCTGGATGGCCTCATGCTTGGTAATGTGCTCCTTCTCCAGTGAGTCTTTGATCCTGTCGATGATCCACCTATATTGGAGGCTCATCTTCTTTGTCACCTCTACAATCAAGAATTTGTCTTGATCTTTGGAAAACCTGCCAGTCAAATAAGACCTTTCAGGGTTCTTGGCAGTGGTCTTAAAAATTTTTTCCCAAGGCTTTCTCTCTGTGGCTTCAACCTTTTTCAAGGCTTCATTCTTAGCAACCTTTTTCAAGGCTGGTTTTTTAGACTTTTCCTTTTTCAAGGAGGCCTGTTTGGCAGATGGCTTTTTCAAGACACCCATGGCATCTTTCAAACCACCATGCACTTCTGCAGAAGCTTGTGGCTGAAAGTTGCCCCTCTTTTTCTTCCACAACCTTGGTGGGCTTGCCCCTTTCTGTGGGCTGGCCAAAACCTTGGGGAAGCCATGAGAGTCCAGGGAGACATCACTCACTCTGGCCTTTAATGACCTTCCCTTTGGCACTATGGCATTTTCTACAGCTTCCTTTTTCAAGGGGCTGTCGCCCTTTTTCAAGGTTCTCTCTTTTTTCTTCAAATTTTCATTCTTTACCTTTTTCAAGGATGTGTTCTTTTTCTCTGTGCTTACTTTTTTCAAGGTCTCTTTGCTTCCAGCTTTCTGGCCATCATCCTTTTTCAAGGCATTTCCCTGGGGCACCTTTTTCAAGGTGTCTTTACTGCTTCCAGCTTTCTGGCCCTCATCCTTTTTCAAGGCATCTTCCTGGGGCACATCTCTCAACACCACCTTTTTCAAGGTCTTGTTGAGCTCTTTAAATTGAGTAGCTGTCAGGCTACCAATGACACTGCTGGGCATTGTCTTTGCCCTTGCCAGCCTTCTGACATGGTGCAGTACCACTGAAATCCTGTCAGCTCTCAGATTTACAAAGACACTACCATTGTAGTCGCTGGTATTCAGCTCAGGCTCCCTAGTAATGAGATGCAGCAAAGCTGATCTCATTGTCTGGGCATGAATTTCAGCTGAACTTTCCAAGTCTACCAAAGCATCAATGAGGGGCAAAACTTGATGCATGGCTAAGGGGTTGTGGGCAGAATTTCTCGACAACAATTCATACCCTTTCAAATTAAATACCAAGTCCTTGTGTTCAGCAAAGACTTGGTACAGCAACCCCTGGTCTATCAGAGGTTTGCTGAAATGTCTGGCACCCCCTTTGCCAGCCATGCCTTCTTCAAGGCACTCTCCTTTTTCAAGGCAGTCTCCTTTTTCAAGGCACAAGCCTTTTTCAAGGCAGGAGTTACCTATTTTTTCTAAATCTTTTTTCCAACAGCTGAGAGCCAAAACAGCTGGCAGCCACCAAAAAAAAGGATCAAAAGTTTCAACCCCCAAAATCAATATCCCAAATCAAAAAAAAAATCAATACAAAAATCAATTGATTCAAAACTAAAAAATCAATTAAATCAAAAAAATCAATTGAATCAAAATCAATTAGAAAAATAGGAAGTTTATTGATTGTAATCAATATCCGATGCTCAGGG